GTAAAACTAACACTGGTATAAATTTTATATTAGGACAAAAATAAAATACTTGAAAAATATTTGAAACCAAAGTAAAGTAAAGGTATGAGATGTCTTACCAATAGTAACATCTGAAGATGAATGAGTCTCCAAGAATTTGTTGATGTGACTCCAGCACCTCGGGAGCCAATCCAGCACTTGTTGAAGCCGGGGCAACCTTGAACCAGCTTCCACTTCAACCTGTGTCAATCTCCTTCGAGCTACTCTTCCCACTAAGCCCTTGACAGGCTCCATGTGATTGGCCATCAAAACCCATCTGTAATTATATGACCGAAGATATAAAGCTTGTTTATACTGAATACAAGGAAAGATAATGTACATACAGTATATATTGCATAACTCTGATATTACAGCATACTCTGAGAAATTTCAGCACATACCTAAAGTTATGGTGCAACTGTAAGTTAGTTGTTGAACATGATGTAGTCTGGTTCATTGTTCCAATAATATAAGGACAATGGCTATACTTCGCACTTAGGAACCCATTGAATACATCAGTTAAGGCTCCTGCATGGTGCAAGTTATCTAGAATGATGACCAAAGGCAGGTCTGAAGTATTACTCTCACATTGTTCACTAATGTGGGAGAGGTAGGCTCCAAGGTCTTTTCCTGTCTTGTGGTCAACACTGTTGAAAGAATGTTATGTTAGAAAAGAAATATCAAAAACCTTTTGTGACACATCTATATCTAAAATTTCATTCTCATTACATTTTCTATTGCATACATATCTGTTATCTGTCAAGTCCTAGGAATTCTCACTTACTTGAATGTTGCAATATAACCAGGTGATGGGTCTTTTCCCATTCGGGTTACTAGATATTCTGCCAACTTCTGAGCTAAGTATGTCTTCCCAGTGCCTGAAGGACCGCACAAAATAATCCTCCGATGTTCAGTCAAAAGAGACATGTATCTTTGGACAATGGACTTCGGAATCAAAGTTTCAAATGCAAGAGCATCAACATGATTCAAAGTGGCTCCTTTGAGAGTAATCTTGATGTTTGTCACTTCTCCCACTAAATACCCACATGGGAGTAACTCCGGTGAGTCCGCATCACGTCCCCTGGCAATCTCTCCAATATGGTATGAGAAAATAGACTCGGCACTAAGTCCCAGGTTGGAGACAGGGTCAACTCTCAGGATGTATTCCTTAAAAATGCGTTTCACAAGATTGTCTAACATATCCCACTTGGTTTTCCCACTTACAGATATAGCTCCAATAATACACTCACTAAATGACACACCATCAGCTGGATTCACATATTTATCATAATCTCCATGGCATCCCATGAAGACAGTAATACTGACTCGTTTTCCATCCTTATCACTAGGGTCAATTAAAATCACATCTGTTGAGTCTGGCATTGTCATTTCATCACCACCAAGACTTAGTCTTTGCTCTATCGAATCTGACACAGGAAGTGAACTCTGCGAGGAGTTCAGGGACTTTGAGGACACCATCCTCGCCAGTCTATCATTGTCTTGCTTTAGCGACACCATTTCTGAGCGCATTTTACTTATGGTTTCCTTGAGAGATTCCAGCTGGTGAGCTGAAGATAAGGCTTCGAGTCGAATGTCGGTAAGAGCCATGTCTTTTTCTCGTAACTGAATCTTCAGTGACTCCACTTCCTCTTCCTTGTTGTTACCATAGGTTCTAGAATGAGAAAAAATTCTTTGTAAAATCATGAGAATCAATAAAGCACTTTTGGTGAATTCCCAGTGTATTCAATATCCTACAGAAACAAATGAGTCAAATTTTTCAATCCAAGGATGTCTTCCTCACCCAGTTGTGGACTGACACTCAGGGTCACTTGTTCCACCATTTGCACGCTGCAGGAGAGGAGATGAAGGAGCGGAACATTCTCCGCGGTCCCAGCCTTCCACATCAGAGACGGAGCCTCCACCAACGCCATGTTTACTCTTCTTGTGCCCACGGGAGAAGGCTTTGCTAAATGAGCTTCGTAGCTGCAGAGGAAAAAAAAAAAAAAATCATTAGGATCTTCAATTCTTCAAACTTCTCTCTCAAGGAAAACATATATTTTTTTCTTACATATACTAAGCAGTATCTCTCTGCAATACTTACCCAACCCTTCTTCTTTCCAGACTTTGATCCATCACTTTTATCTTGCATGGATGTGTGTGATGCAGCTGAGCATGCAGAGGACAGACTTGACACAGACTCCACTGATGTTCCTCGTACTAGTTTACCACCTGTTCACAAGTAATAATCACATTTAGTTGAGGAAAACATGTCATGGCCTTAACTATAAGAACTATACAAATACACCAAGGAAAAGGGATTCCTAAAATAGATGAATGTTTAAAAAAGAAAGAATTTATCATTACACTTATGATTAATCATTTTCTTTAATTACAAAGTTATAATAATTTTAGTTACATATAATACATAAAAAGCGTTATTTATTTCTCTACAAATAAATAATATAATTAGTCATCTGTTGAGTCTGGCATTGTCATTTCATCACCACCAAGACTTAGTCTTTGCTCTATCGAATCTGACACAGGAAGTGAACTCTGCGAGGAGTTCAGGGACTTTGAGGACACCATCCTCGCCAGTCTATCATTGTCTTGCTTTAGCGACACCATTTCTGAGCGCATTTTACTTATGGTTTCCTTGAGAGATTCCAGCTGGTGAGCTGAAGATAAGGCTTCGAGTCGAATGTCGGTAAGAGCCATGTCTTTTTCTCGTAACTGAATCTTCAGTGACTCCACTTCCTCTTCCTTGTTGTTACCATAGGTTCTAGAATGAGAAAAAATTCTTTGTAAAATCATGACAATCAATAAAGCACTTTTGGTGTATTCCCAGTGTATTCAATATCCTACAGAAACAAATGAGTCAAATTTTTCAATCCAAGGATGTCTTCCTCACCCAGTTGTGGACTGACACTCGGGGTCACTTGTTCCACCATTTGCACGCTGCAGGAGAGGAGACGAAGGAGCGGAACATTCTCCGCGGTCCCAGCCTTCCACATCAGAGACGGAGCCTCCACCAACGCCATGTTTACTCTTCTTGTGCCCACGGGAGAAGGCTTTGCTAAATGAGCTTCGTAGCTGCAGAGGAAAAAAAAAAAAATCATTAGGATCTTCAATTCTTCAAACTTCTCTCTCAAGGAAAACATATATTCTTTTCTTATATATACTAAGCAGTATCTCTCTGCAATACTTACCCAACCCTTCTTCTTTCCAGACTTTGATCCATCACTTTTATCTTGCATGGATGTGTGTGATGCAGCTGAGCATGCAGAGGACAGACTTGACACAGACTCCACTGATGTTCCTCGTACTAGTTTACCACCTGTTCACAAGTAATAATCACATTTAGTTGAGGAAAACATGTCATGGCCTTAACTATAAGAACTATACAAATACACCAAGGAAAAGGGATTCCTAAAATAGATGAATGTTTAAAAAAGAAAGAATTTATCATTACACGGATGATTAATAATTTTCTTTAATTACAAAGTTATAATAATTTTAGTTACATATAATACATAAAAAGTGTTATTTATTTTTCTACAAATAAGTAATATAATTAGTCAATAATACACTAAACTAAATCAATGCATATTATACTGGATTTAGTAACACATTAAATAGTAAAATAATCAGTTTCCAGACTGTTATTAAGTAGGTAAATCTCAGAATTTGAGAAGTATGTCAGTATAAAATTGAATATCAATCAGAAGTTTAAGATTTAAAATAATCAACAATATTTACTTAAACATGGTTGCAAAGATATACAAAAAACATTCATCCATTTTTAATGCACCAGGAAGTTATTTTGTGCTCAAAATGTTTAAAATGTGCAAAAGTTCATAATCCACAGAACCACGAAACTCTGGCAAAGAATATTCACAAAACAAAATAAAACCAACAGGCAGCAAGCTTGGACAGAGAAGACAAAGTCAGAAATCACTCATGCATAAGAAATGTAGAATCAGTGGAGTTAAAAGTTTGTTAGCATTAAATCATTTCTTTTAAATATCTTTGTCTTAATTGTCATTATTTAAAACAAATCACTGAAAACAACATTTAAAAAATCTGAACTAAACATGTGCAAACACTGATAATAAATAAAGGGGTTGGGACACATTAATACACATAGACCAAAAGGGAAACATTTAAAAAATGGTATCAATGGTTTTGGTTAATAGAGCTGGGGCAAGAAGGAGGAGGGGGTGGGGAAGGGGGGGGTGGCAGGGAGGGAATTGTAGTCTTAACCCACTGTTACCTAAGCCCAATCAAACACCTGATTGGCATTTGGTTCACCTAGTATGCATGAACTGTCTTTACTGGTAAACAATAGACTCCCAAAAGTCTGGTCTGCCATTACAAGTCAGCTTAGCCAAAGGACTGGCATGAGCCTTGAAGTAGAGAAGAAAAGCCTGCTTGCTTGTCAAAAGGTGAAGAAGTCTCACCAGCTTCAGTGAATTCACACACTACAAGGTCTTTACAATTCCCCGTGAAGGTGTGCCTGCGAGCAAGGTCATGCCCTGATTTTTCTGGTGAACTGGAACGACTGCCTGAGGTGACATTGAGCACAGAACACGAGGCAATGTTGGGAGAGAGATGGGTGTGTTGGTGCCTGGCAGGGGAAGGGGGGGAGTGGTGGTGGTGGTGGTGGTGGTGCTGGTGGTGGCCGGGGGACGTACTTTGGAGACAGGCTACAGTAAGACCAGCGTCTACACTTTGTTGACGCAGGGCCTCAATGGTTTTACGCAACTCCATGACCTCGGAATCCTGAAAAACATGAGATTATTTGTTGAATTTTGTTATCCAAGAGTGCCATAAACTTTAATTAGTGATCAGCATTCACTCAATACATGAAAGATAAGGAAAATCATTATATATGTATATATAAATCATATATGTACACCAATGAGTATGTATGCGTGTCAGTGTATTTGTGCATGTGAATGTGTACATGTGTACATGTATGTGTTTAAGCCTGTGTTCATATCTAAAAGCAAGTACTACTAAATATTCCACAAAAAGAAGTTTCTAATTCATTAAAAAATGTATACAATGATACCAAGAGAGCAGTATTTGTAAACTAGCTTAATTGCACATTAACCAGATTTTTGTTCCATAACACTTGCAGGACTGATTGCATAAAACACATGATTTTATTCATTTTTCATTTTGTTACCTTTTGCTCTGATGTTGCAGTAAGCTGTTGCAATCTGTTGGTCATGTTGGTAAGAGATTGCTCAAAGGCAGCAACTACATGAGCCTGTTGATGAAAGAAAAAAAATATACATATATACACAGATTTCTTGCAAAAGTTGAAATTACTGATATTCAACAACCAGCCAAAGCATTCCCTATGGGATAAACTCTTTTTAATTTGTCTTTTTCGTTTAAGATGCATCCATTTACAAACTCTACTGATATTTACCGTATTCTTCAGGTTGAAAACTGAGTTCTGGAAAGAGAAATCTTTTAGTATTTGCTTGGCTGGTTGCTTTTTAGTACTTTAAATTGGACATAGCGCTTCCCAAGCAAAAAGACTAATTTCTAGACATAAAAAAAAAACAAGGAAATACACACACACATAGAAAAAGAAGAAAAATTCAAAATCAAAAATAAAAAAGCTTGTTTTCAAGTGGTATGTGATTCTACAAAATACCTCTACATGTAAAGGAGTAACATTACTCAAAATGGCAGCTTACATTAGTACTAAGTTGGTTACTCAGAGTTCCAACTTTCTCTTGTGCTTCAGCCAATTCTTTCCTCAGCTTCCTAATCTCTGCAGCTTGCTTTTCCTCCTGTGAGCTGTACAGTGATGATGATGAGGACACCAATGATAATGAAGATCCATGACCTGAAAGAGAAGAAATGTAAATTAGTTTATCAGAGTTAATGTAGCTGTGAGAGAAAACATGACCTCAAAGTCATAGCTAATTCCAAGATTTCCAAGATCCACTATAATAATAAAAGAACTTACATTCATCATCCTTTGAAGTTCTAGGAATCACAGTTGAGTAATATGGGGAGCCTCGAACAGTGTTCAGGGGAGATATAGGTAGCCTGGTGCCTCCTGGTGGCGTTGGACTGGTAGGCTGTGAGGCATGGTAGCCATCTCGACCTCCCATGCTACTACTGTACAGTTTCTCAGACTTTGTGGATCTGGTGGAGGAAATATAAATTACAGTTTGGGAAAAACTTTGATTTGATTTTGGTACACCTAAATCAAAATGCATGGAAGTTTTCACTACACAGAATCACTTAGTACAACCATATCTATCTTGCAACTTTAAGACATCCTCACTTAAGTATTGTACTTTTTTTAAAAGGTGACTTAGGGCTCTGATCATCATAAAACTGTACCTTTGCTTTCTCTTACATATCAATAATCCAAGAATAGAGCATAAAACATATAAAAACCCTGTGTATGGCAGTATATAAAAGCTGCATAATATTACTAGCTTCATTCTTGAAAGTTCCATCAGTACACAAAGATGCATTAATAATCCTATTTGCATTGGCATGCTCATGATGCTATCAACAAAAAAGTGATGCAAGGCTGTGTAAAGTGAGTACACAGCCGTACAATATTGTATAAGTACGTTCTCTTATACATGCTCAAACCAACGTAGTTCCTTCCATGACTCAACAATAATCTGATTTTCAGGAATACCACTTGTGTTGTTTAGGTGGTAAAAATGAATGAAAGGTTACAGATTTCAGGCAATGAGAATGTCAACTAGTAATATGCCATTCAAAAGCCTATTTGGTCGATACTTGAGCAGGAGAATGATATTCTGTGGTATGATCATGTACATGCTAATGATAAGTGCTACATAACCATACCTAGGGAAGGTCCGTTCAATAAGATGGCTGTGGATGGGGATAAAATTTGGTTAATGTTAAACATTTAAAAAAAAATCCAGTTCCTCTAAATCTCAAAACCATAAAAGACTTTGGATAATCCAATTTTGGAGATTATCTGGCATCCAAATATAGGAATCATAAAATAAGGTTCTCAAGCTGGGGAGAACTAAAACCATTTAGAAAATAACTAATTTCACAACTTAAGTACCATAACCTTAAAAAATCATACTGCAAGTCTTTCTTTAAGATTCAGTACTGAAAAATCTGGGTTTCCTAATTCACTGTGTGTAAATGCAGATCAAACATGGTTGTGCTTTTTAAAGGTAAAATCATTATTTCTTATCAATGAGCTTTTTACGTTGTTCAACATATTTTCTTTTAAACTATCAAATGGGTTATATTTTTGGAGTAAAATCTAAATTAATTCAAACTTGACATCACATTTCTAAAAGCAGTGCATTAATGATTATGAACATAATATACTAATGATTATGAATATACTATAGTGAAATGACCCTTGTAACTGGATACCAATATACTTGTATGACAGCATCATTCAATATTCATTTGTATTTTCCACTTGTATATTTTTTTTTACCGATTCATATA